ATGATTATAAGCAATAAGTGATCCTGAGCCTCTACCGTCGACGACGGTGAGGGAAATCTAATTATTTCCCTCCCATGGCTCGGCAAGCCTTAAAGGTTAATCACTGTCCATTGAGCTAATTCTGGCTGGGTACACTGGAGTAATTACAACGCCTCGCTCTCTTGACGACACGGTGCTTTTACCCTTTTGTGTACCTTTCTGACTCCAGATCCTCTCATTTCATTGCTCTCTGGTGGCCATGTTTCATCTTCTTCCTGATGCCAGCTGAAGTGCACACATTAAATACCTCTTCATTTAAAGCTTTAGCATGTAACTTCCATAAAAAATATTTATTTTACATATTTGTTTAAATCAGGGGTCTGCAACCTTTACAGTCTCGCTTACCTTCTCCTAGTGTGCTCAGAGATAACTAGAAATGAGGAAATTGTTAAGTCATAATGACTTAACAATAGCTTAATTGTTAAGTCATAATTGACTTAGCAATTATGAGATTTTTGAAAAGGCTTGTTTTCCAGACACCAAAAAACCCTCACCTCACTGCTAAAAAACAAAAAAAAAACTGCTTTTAGAAGCAGTTGAGATACCAATTGTAAAAATTTTTAGATCAGAAGAAACCAATAATAACTCAAAAATGGCCAAACAAACTTTTCCTGAGTTAATTCTTTAGTTTTACCATTATTTCAAGATAGAGCAATGTTTGCAGAGACAACATTTTGTGGGTCATCATTCCCACAAAAAGATAATTTATTTTAGCATAATATTATTGGAGAAGGATTAATATTAATTTTTACACTATAATTATCATGTGCTGTTAAGAAAATGTTGGTTTTAGTTTTTTGTCAGTGCACCAATAAAGTTTCAGTCACCTCAGCATGCTGACGGCTTGAAACTGATAGTGAACTTCTGGGCTTAAAATTCTTTCTGCTTACTTCAGATGATTTCTTTCTGACCACATGGCAAGCTATTAAAATTTCACTCAGTGAGTAAGTCAGTACTAATATAAAAAAACAAAATAAATAAGATGAGATGGTGACAGTTAACATACTCATGTTGACGGAGCTAAATGCAAAATTCCACCGTATCACAACAAAATCGACATACTTCAAAGATGTGACAGATTAACATATCTCCTCGATCCAAGATTTGAAGGGAAAATGAGTAAACTACTAAAATAGAAAGATAATCTATCCATGCAAACAAATACAGAGATGAACCAAAGCTTTACACAACTCTAGATTTTCTCCATTTCGTCGTCCAACGTTTTTGGCACCTATCTCAACAATTGCACCATTTATATTCCTCCTCTTCTTTTTCTTCATTACCTCATCATCATTCATCCGTTGCCACTTTTTCACTTCATTCGTTTCCCTCCCTGCTCTACTTCAAACTGAGTACCACTGTGTCTCTCTTTAGCAACAACGAAAGGAAGTTTGCCTTGGAACTATTTCATCTCCTTCCAAATTTTGTCTGATTTCTGCCAAAAGAACTAAAAACTAAGGGAGGAACCTTTTTTTACTTTTGAACATTTAGACTTAACATTGAAACATACAAATTAAAAACCAATCAACAAAATCATATAGTACATGTTTGTTTGCTTTGTTCACTCTATGGTTCCATTCTCACTTGTAGTAAGTTCATATTTTATTCAAAATAACGTTAAAAAAAAAAGATGCTCTTTGATTTTCTTCCTTTTGATTTTGTCTTTGCAATTCTAAATTTTTCTGCTTTGTCAAACTTCAGTCTTCTCAGTGAGTATCCCCAAGGCTCAGATATGCTCTAAAAGGCAGTGCCCTGCTGAGACGGGTGGGCTGTCTGCTCCCATATCATCAATGCAGAAAAAAGGAGATGAAGAGCAGGGAGGATGAGGCAAGAAAAAAAAGACAAAAAAAGGGAAGAAAGGCCGAGGATGCTGAGGGTAGCCTTTAGCGAGCGTCATCACTCAGCTAAATGCCCTCTCTTGTTCCTCCTCTCACTTTCTATTTTCACCTCGCCGAGGGAATAAAACCGAGCTGTGGCTTTATTTCAGTCCAAATGTTTTCCAAGAATCTGGAACCCTGGAATTTGTTCCTCGGCTCCTGCGGCAGGCCCGTTTCTCAGAGTCTGTGCAGATGGGTGTGAAGGAACAAGCGGCACCGATGCGGTGGTGGTTGGCGAAGGAAAGCTGCTGGATTTGCTGAGCGAGAAACAAGACAGGCTGAGCTTCACAGGGTGGAAAGGAGAGAACAAGGAGAACATGAAGCGTGCTACTGTGTGGAGAGTAAGAACAAACAGGTTTGAGCTGGAAATATTGTTGTTTGGTGGAACAAAGTTTGTGCAGCAATGATAAATGACAGATGTCCCAATAAATTACCAAACGGAATCAGAGCCAAGACACATGTGACCTAAACAGGGCCTCCACACCACAAGGGGGCCCCCAAGAGTACCAAACTAGTATGATAAAAGTATATATACATGCATATATATTTAATATAACATTGAACAATAAATGTCACTGAACGACATTTTGTAGTCATTCAGTGAAAATGCTATAGGATGCGTTATTGATTATGTGTCTACAGTGACATATATTGTTATTGATTTATTGCACAGCCCTGTGACGGGGCAGAAACACTGAGTCTAAGCACTATAAAAAATAGAGTCTTAAATTGTGTTTTCTTCATCAAGTTGACGAGTCAAAGTAAACCAACTAAAAACCGGGTTTTAGCTGGCTTAAAATTCAGACATATAGTAACAAAAATGCTGCAGTAAAACTGAAAACTTTAATAATTGATGGACAATACAAAGAGAAGTATTGTCCAGGAAACACTGAAACCTAAATGAACAGGAGCTGCTTGATTCATTGGGAACGTTGTCTGCTTTGTTGCCACTGATTTCAACTTTGGCAGCACGGCTATTTACCTGTGTGAGGCTTTTAGTTTGGCTATACATGAATTAAAAATGGCTCATCAAAAGATTTAATTAACATAATGGATTACCACTGCTGTTATACGTGCATAAATTGCAAACAGAGCCTCTGCATATTTTGAGGCTGAATTGATCCTGCTGCCTTTGATTAATGCTACAAAGTCATAAAAAAGGCATCAGTATTCTGAACATCGACGGCACAAAAGTATATTTATGACAAAAAAATAAACAGTGAGGAACCAAATAAAATCACTCTGAAATATTTAGCTTTTTTTTGTTGAGATATGAGGAAAAGGTCAGAGTATGTCAGCAGAGATGACTAATCTAGACTAATAGGTTCAAGACAATTAAATAAGGAAGCACAATAAACATCTAATTCATTAGACGTTTTTGTTGCCTTCATAATTGGTGAAAAAGCCTCCGAAATGAGCATCAAGGCGCTTTCAAAACAAATGTCCAACACCACTTCATAACCAACACAACTGTGACTCAAGTACCATAGCAATGACCAATGAAGTTTGATGCTTTGGTCTCAACTAGTCCTTTTTTAAGGACAATTTTGTTTTCAGAGAAGTCAGCATTTTATTTCTGTTTTGTTTATTTAGTTTAGATATTTAAAGTATCTTCCAGTTCCAGTGATAAACATTAATTAGAATTTAAAATTTATTGATCTTTGAGCATTGTATCACTTGAAAATGGTCTCACAACAACAATATTACCGTTTATCGAAATAACTTCTGGGGAAATTTATAGTTCAGCAAAATTGGTAATGATAGGCATAACTACAATTTTCCGAAATGCAGCATATATTATATACGTAGCCATTCCTAATTATAAGTCACTTGTCGTTACAAGGCCTCAATAAGACGCTGACGTCAAGTCTGATAGTTGATAGTTGATTGCACCGTGGCTGAAATATGATATGATTCTTCACATATGATTGTAATTACATTAATAATGGAAACACCATGATTGCGAAGTTGTGTTTTTCAGATTTTAACAGAATATCAAAAGAAGTTTTGCTACTGACAGCTTGACATACTTTCAGATTCTTTTGGTTAATAACTGGCTGACCTAATGGTGACACAACACAATGAGATTTCTGTCTTAGTCGACTGAAATAGATAAATATGTCCAATGTTTAAAACAAGCGGCTTCCAGTTCCTGGCGACATCCAGAAACTTCCCACAGTTATTGAAGAGATTTGGACCAAAAGCACCTGATTAATATGATGAATGGTTGCACAGAGTGAGTGGTAATCACAACAGATTCTGATTGGTTCTCTGATCCCCAATAAAGCAAAACTGCTAATTTCACAATGACCTTTTATTGTCACACACCTGTGCAACAATCAGGCCGTCTAACCAGCATCTTTGCATGGCACACCTGTGAGGTGGGATGGATTATCTCAGCAAAGAAGAAGTGCTCACCAACACAGATTTGTGAACAGTATTTGAGAGAAAATAGGTCTACGGTGTGTACAGAAAAAGGTTTGGATGTTTGAGTTCAGCTCATGACAAAATGGGAGCAAAAACAAAAGTGGTGCACTTATATTTCAGCCCGGTGTCTACAGCTTTGGACCTCTTGAGCACTCATGAATACATTAGCTGCATCTGTTACGTCTATCTGGAGCAACCATCTGGAACAACCTTGCAGCGTATCTCAGCAGATATCAGCATACTCAGGTACTATCTCTGCTTGCGACATGAGAAACCGACAAGTTCAGAGTCAGCAGAGTTGGGACCTGCGGCTACAGGAGCTCATCACGTGTAAAAGTAAATCTATAAGGAGACAACGACAAGCCATCATCATCTGGACTCGATGGCTTGTGAGCAGAGCAGCTGAAGAAAATGTTTCTGCAAGACTCTTTTGTTGCGTAATCATTTTCTGATTCATCATTTCCTCCAGGCTTTGAAATATGCAGCGATTGCCATGGCGACAGATGGCTCGTGAATAATGAATGATTGGTATATTTAATATAATGTTTGTTATTGAATATTTTTTAACCTAGAAGAAACTAAATCCTCAGCGTCGGGGACAGGATGCGTAATGCAGAAAAACGTCTCAATGTGACATTTAGATGCTGAAAAGTTTACCTTGTGTGAGGAGCTGGAGAGTCCTGACTTCCTCGCGAACACGAAGCTGCAGGACTTGCTGCAGGATGTGCTGCCTCTGGGCTTCGTGGATAATCCCCATTCGCTCCAGCTTTCTGTCTGTTAGTCTCATGAGGGCCCGTCCTGAAAATAGACAAGCGAAAAAAAATAAAATAAAATAAAACACAAGGCTTAAGGATCCAAGCCAGAGGGAGTTTAGCAAACACCGCTTCAGATGTTTGCTAAACAACATCCTCTTTACGTCCGTGGAAGAGGAAACTCACAAGGTGCTGCGGGTGAATTAAACACAAATTGGACTTTATAAGGGTAGATTAATAAAAACAGACGTCTCTTCACCGTTGTGCGACCATCAGTCTGAATTGTCCAATTAAGCTCAGCAGAACCATATGTGAGGCAGATCCTTCTTTGCATAAATATCAGAACAGTACATCCCTGGAGCAAGAATCCCTAACAGCTCTGTAGCTAATTGCAAATCCTTGTATAAAATAATTTAATCATCCAATCGGCTTCTATGAAAAGGACTTAGGCAACTAATAAAAAGGCTTGTCGAATATTGTGTGATTATTAGTCCTTGTTATGAGTGTTTTTGCAACATAGAGGATGGTAAGCGGATAGGATAATCTAGGGTAATTACGAAGCAAAATGCTCGTTTTGCTCTTGTGGCCCCGACGGCTGCTTTGACAAGATGCTGCCACCAATTAGCGCCACGGTTGGTTGGAGAAAAGTCCTTAAAATCACCAGGAAGTCAAAGCGACTCTTCAGTTGATGAACTGGGAATCTGTGTAGTTGTTAATGGCAGTAAGTATGCAATTCTAGGTTTTTATCTAAAGGACCTGACCTGAAAGAAACAAGTCTTTGCTGAAGAAATGTGTTACTGGGGTTCAGGGTCTTGAATCTTAGATGTTTCTACTCAAGTACTGAACAATGCAAGAATTTTATCTACAAAGAATCTGGAAAACTACATGATTCACTTTGCAAATATTCGCTCACAAATAGCGTAAGAGCACACTGAAAGTTAGGATGTGGACTTAAAATTTTATCATGAGATTTTGTGTTACAATTAATTACTTCCTTGTTTAGGTAAATGTATAGTTTCAACTGTGCGTCACATTCATTATAGCCTCACAAACACAAACACTACTCTTGAAAAACTTTCCCATTTGTAATACACTTCGTTAGGACAATAGTCACATTAAGAAATGTGATTTGTGTCTCCAAAATGTACACTAGCTGCATTTAATCATGTTTTCAAATTTATTGGTGATAATGTCATTGCTTAATGATCAATAAACTTTAAATTCTAATTAATACTCAACGCTGGAACTGGAATACATTTTACAAAACCAAAACAACTAGTAAAGTGATCAAGTTTCTGAAAATAAAATTGTCCTTCAAAAAAATGACTAGCTGAAACCAAAGCATCAAACTGAAGACCAATTTTGGTCTTTCTCAAAGAAATGCATTATGTAAATAGAAATTATTGAGATTATTTTACTTTATCACGGGATTAATTGATTTGCTGTTTGTTGTGACAGGCCTAGCTTCGACCAGATGGGATTAAAATCTGAGCATTTCAGTGGAGATTACATCAGATGTAACCAGTATATAAAATCCAGACAGATAGGTAGAGTCATAAACACTCACAGGTAGCAGCAACATAATGAAAGAACAGATAAAAGTCAAAGAAGGCGGCGACCAGATTGAGACGTTAAAGTTGACATGACAGCGCCAACATGAGCCATGCTGTAACGGGTCTATAAATATTGACCAACCATCACTTGCCACCTGAAACCAAAGATAGATTGGCATGGCAACTGAGACTCACATTTCTCTCTTTTGCTCCTGTAACATCTCTTGTCAATAACTGCAGGTATAAGGGAGACAACTGAGCATGACACACACTGCAAGATTGATGATATTTGGGATTTCCAGTATATTAGCATGAAAAACAGCTGCAGCATCAGGCAGTGTGGTCAAATTAGGACATAACTTGATGTAGATACAGACCAGAGGCTCTTTGTACAAGTTCTTACTCCTCTAAGTTTTTTAATGATTTGTCAAGTTGCAACCAGGCTTCAATTTTTTTTAATTTGCATCTTATAATATAGACCAACAGAAAGACAAAACAGTTAATTGAAAGCTGAAAATTTTTCACTTAAAATCTAATTGGTGAGCCCATTCCAATTTCCATTAGAGTTAATCTGATAATTTATTGGTGATACTGGTTTAAAAACAAATGTTCTGGGACGATCTCTGATGTTTGAACAGTTCATTTTGGAATGTTGTTCAAAGCTTGAGATATTGTTTGTAAAACTTTAACCATGTCTATGTTTCTAGGTGTTTATTAATTAATGTTCCCCAGCAATCATCATCTAAAAATAGAAAGAGCATGAAATGACTGGAAATGACACAACTAAGGTGGCTCATGGTGCCTGGAGGAGCTGCGGAAATCCATGTTAAACTTTTTAAGCACTCCAGAAATCTAGTTTTGTTGAGAAATTGTTAACATTCAAATTTTATGTGTTTTTGTTCTTCCATTTAGGTCTCTACTGCTTCTAAAATAGCAAAAAGAGAAAAACAAACAAAACTCCCAGCCATTTTTTTGGACAGCAAGTTAATGTTTTTTCTGGTGTCTGGAAAATGAGTCATTTTAGCACACTTCCAATTGCTGAGTCACATTCAATCGGCGCTGCTCTGTTACCTAGCAACCCTAGCAGAGCTCCAGCACCTTTGGTCATCTGGTTTTACTGTTGTATGTGCTGTACAATGGCTGCTGGAATAAACAAGTGTTTTGCTGCCGACTTTCCATCTAGAAACCACTTGCTGCATTCTTATTGGTTGTGCATGAGGTTCTACTAATGCTTTTCAAAGACGTACGGTTGTGTAATTGTGCATCTTTTTGCAGCCATTTTCAAGTGTAGAGATTGAGTTACGGGATGTGACCAGCAGCAGCTGATAAAGTTACAAAATTTTAAGTGACCCAAAAATGAAAGGAGCTAAAGTGGCACCAACTAAAATCTCATCTAAGAATGATTGTGCAAAATGAATGTACACATTTTGTGTCGCCCTGGCTTAATCTATTTATGAAAGCATAATTTGTAACCTTTAAGAAAAAGCTGACTTAGAAAGAACACCATCCAATCTAACAGAGCTTGAGTTATTTTAAAAAGAAATGCATTGACCTGTTATTCCTTCCACTTCAGTCATTGATTGCTTTGTGTTGGTCGATCAGTTTTGCTCGTAATAAAACTGCAAAAATTGAAAGGAGCAGATCAAGATGTAGATTCATCAGTCTGAGAGTCTAAATCGTATCTATAAAATGATAATTTAATGGAGTAGGTGACTGCGTCCTTTGAGATCTTAGGGCTCTAACATCGGACCAGTCAAACATCCGTATGCCAAAACATACTAGGAAAAAACAAGTTCAGAAAGCTTTTTGAGCAAATCCCAGGTTGAATCATTTCTTTTTTAGATATTTGCATGTACAGAAGCAACCAGCATGAATCTTTCACTTACAAAACCAGACTGTTGCCTTTAAAAAAAGCCAGAGCAAAGCCAGTGAAGTGCTGCAATTACTGCGATATAAGAATACCAGTGATTACAATAAAAAACACTCAGCTCAACATTCAGCCAAAGTACCATGCCTCCTTGTCAGCAAGGCAACATCAGTGGGGTGGAACAACTTCTGTAAGGAGTCCAAGCCTTTTAACTCTCTGTTCCTCCAGTTCTGAGGAGTTCTGAGTTCTGAGGTCTGAGTTCTGAGGTGGCATCGACGATCCCACCATGTCTCAGCGGGGAATTTTTCATACCACTATTAATGCACTGTGCAGTGTAGCATGGCCAGGAGGAGAGGAGGAAGAAAGGGGGAGGAAGACGAGGGCTGGAGAAGTGGAAAGTGGTCAGGAGGAAATAAATGAGGTAAGAGAAAGAGTTGCTTTGGAAGCAGTTGAATGTCTGATAGTGAGCAGGGGGGAAAGGCAAATCAGCTGTAAAAAAAAGCTCCTGAAACAGAAGGAAAAAGTAGAGGTGAAAACTAAATATTAAGACTTCTGCTGCTTACTCAATAGAGTTACAGAAACTGATTCACTTAACAATCTTAAAACATTAAAAATATCTCACTGCTTCAGTAAAATATTTACTTTCCACTTCACAATGGAAGCTTCCCGTCTCAGTGAAGTGGTTTGGGCAAGTAGGTGGATTTCTAAATGTAAAAAAGATTTTTCAACAGTCGTCTGAAAAACGACTGTGCAGAGCATTAATTTTAAAATGAGTATTTCTCATCAATTCAACCCGAGCATACAAAAAGATGTTTAAGCAGAGATGCTATTCAGTCTTACAAATTACATCTTCATTCACAAAAACATAAAATTATGTTTTATATTTCAGAAAAGCAGCGTTATAGGAAGGTCTGGTGTCCAGTAAGGCTTTTGAAAAGTCAACTTAAAACTGTATAAACAAAGATTACAACTTCAAAGGGACCCAATATAGTTCGTTGAACAGGTTAGGATAGATCTATGGGCTAAACAAAACATGTTCATCACGTCTTTAGTACACAATTATTCATAGAGATTTTAGTCTGTTGAGTTCTGCCTATTCCACTGAAACAACAGAAGCTGTTAGCATTATGCTCAATATTATGCAATCCTGAACACAAAAAGAAAAGCTGGAGATATTGGGTATACAGGTGATACATGTCGCAGAAAGGTGGCAAAAAGAACAGAGAAGGAATCATTAATTTTTACTTCTTAATGTCTGTACGACTTCATTATTTTTAAGATTCTTCCACTATATAAAGAACAAATGCAGCGAAGCATGTTGCACACACATATTTTACAAAGACTGGGTGATGTGCACACAACCACATTGTGCCTGAGAATCGGATTAATGAGTGGTGGGTGAGCAGCCGTGTTGTGCTGAAGCTGATTAATCTGCAGCTACAGCCTGGCACAGTAAACTGCGGCTTTGATGAATGGGAGCTTAGAGTGCATTTGTTTACATCCGCTTCAATATAAACACAAAATGCACACACATATATGCATTGATTCACCAGGAGTTTGCTTCATTTTGCAGGTAGAAATAAAAATAACAGGTGCACAAAGGTCATTAACACATCACCTCAATTT